TTATTATTATTATTATTATTATTATTATTATTATTATTATTATTATTATTATTATTGTTATTGTTATTGTTATTGTTGTTATTATTATTATTAGAAGTAGATCGACGATGAGTTGTAATATCTTGTGATGTCTCCGATATATTCGACGGTTGTGATGATTGAATAGATTGTGATTGAATTAAATGATTTTGTTGTATATTTTGTTGTTGGTGTTGTTGTTGTATATTTTGATCAGGTTTAGATTGTAGTAGTTGTTGTTGTTGTAATAACTGTTGTTGTTGTTGATCTAGGTAAATGAGTCGATCTTGTCTAAGGTTAGTATTAATATTCGTTGAAGTAGAAGCAGTTGAAACGAATGATGGAATATTGTTACTAAAATTAACTGTGGTTGTAGTTGGATGAATTGAAGTTGTAAGTGTATTTGATATATTTGATAAAGAATTATCCATCAAAATCGAAATATTATTATTATTATTATTTATATTATCTATATCAAGATTATTGTTATTGTTATTATTATTATCATTACTATTATTGTTGTTGTTGTTAATATTGATATTATTGTTATTATTATTAAACCTTTTAGTTTCTCTAATCTTCTTTTTCCTAACACTTTGTACAGTTTTTTCAATTAACGTTAATTGGTCAATACTTAAAGCACTTAAAAGTTCTTCGGTTCTTGGGTCAGGGGATAAAAGTGAAGAAATAGTTACTAATGAAACGGGTTGAACCGTTGAAGGAGATTTAAAAGGTGGTTGTTGTAACATCGTTACCCCAGTTTGTTGTGTTAAAACCTCTGAACTTCCGGGGATTTTGGGAACAGTTGGTACATTTGTATTATATCTGGTGGCAGTTGTTGATTGTGTGGTTACAGTATCTGATGCTGTGGTTGTAGCTCCAGTTGGTGGTACCCAAGTATTAAGTCCAATACCCATGACTATTTGTGACCTTTGTTGAGAAGAAGCTGGATCGCGTGTTTGTTGGTGGTGTAAAGGTGTTTGTATATTAGAAATTGAATTATCTTCCTGTGGAATCGTGTTGGTTTGAAGGTTTTCGTGCATCTTTTTTGGTGAAAAATTGTTGTGTGAGAAAGTGACAGGGGTTATAATTTCTTGAATTTATGGGGGTACCCCTGAGTGAAATATTTGACAAAGACGATTTTCAAATTTAATTGGTTATTAAATACTCCTTTACCATCTTTGAAAAAAAAACAGACAGAACAGATTTTGTATCAGTAAAAGTTATCAGTGCCCCGTATTTAGATAACAAGGGTTTAATACCCTTATTTCAATTTATTCATTTCATTCATCTTTAATAATTTTCATGCAGAAAATACAAAAAAATCATATGCATTAGGTAAGCCAATTTATCACTTTTTGAACCATTTTTTTTTTAAACAATAATATTTTGATAATATTTTGTTAAAAAGAAATAGAACTTTAAATAAACTCGATAACTTAAAAGAAAATTTAGGAACCAGAACCAGGAAAAATTCTAGTTAATTTTGCAAGGAGATTAGGAGATTACTATTTGTAGAAATGCAATTACTTATTTTTAGATCGTTAAAGATCAAGAACGTGACTTTCACTGACTATCCTGACTATCACATTTTAAATCTTTATTATCGCACGTTGGTATCACGTAATAGGTTCTATTAATTTGAATGGTGAATCCCTCGAGTTCCCAAGTAAAAGATTGTCAAAACATTTTCCTATTATATTCTTTTTGGTGAAGATATTCATAAAACAAGTAATAGAATTAGTTTAAATTATTTGTTTATTTCCCACATTTTCTCTTTAAAGTATAAATAAAAAAAAATTCTTATCATGAATATTTTTCAGAACTGATAAGAAAAAAATATAATTTGAACTTTGGTATGAATTTTGATAACAATAATACAGATTATGAATTTATGACGTTTTTTTTATTTCGAGAAAAAAAAAAATAATACTCATTTACTTATTTTTAATTGATTGATCGATTTTTACGATTAAAGAAATGAAGTCACGGGTCAAAGCCCTGCCCTTGACTTAAACGAGAACTAGAAAGTTGTGGTTGGTTCTTATATCTGCAAAAAGGATCGAAAACGTAAAACAAGTTTATATCTAAAGTGAGTATAACGGAGCCACTACTTCCACCTTGTTTTACTTTTCCAATGCTTCCCTTCACAACTGATAAGACACAGTTAATGGTAACATTAATTGATGACGTATGAATTGAATAATTTGCGCTTGGAAGACATGAAAAAAAAAAATTGTTTGCCTGTCAAAAAAGTAATGATGGTCACTTAAATGAAATCATGGTGATTAGAATGATTAAATTTTTCACATTTGTTTCACATATTTGGATGAAAAAGGAAAACTCCAACATTGTAACCAACAAAAGTTTAAATAATATAAATATTGATTTTCTATTAAAAAAAAAATACATTCGAAAAAATTGAAAAAAATTGAAGTAAAAAAATCTCTTCCTAAATAACTAAATCAAAAACTATACACCTTCGGGTAACAAATATCCCTCAATTTTATAAACAAATTACAATACCAACCTTGTGGCAATGCATTGAATAGAGTAGAGAGGAAATAATATGTTCTCGAAAAAAAAAAAAAAAAAAAAAAAAGTGAAAGAAAAAAATAATTTTTTTTTTTTTAAATAAAAAAATAAATTTTGTACAAGTCGTTTAAAGTACAATGATGAATGATAATAATATAAATGGTCATATGTAAAATGATCATGTGAAGTCATTAAATTTACTGTACTATATTTTACTGTTCTTTTTTCGTAACAGATTCATCAGCATTACCCATAAATGATGTAAATGTTTTCGCCACAGTCGCAGTACTACTATCATTATTGTCACCTTTAATCTGTTTTGTTATATAATTGAGTACTTCTGTAACAAACATTCGACAAATAGATTCCACCGGTCCAAAAAGATTTAAAAAGTAAAAAACATAACCAACGATACCCACGAAACTGAAGAATACAAGATACATTGGTGATGTGATAATAACCATGAATTCGTTCCAACCAAGAATAACTATAAAATTTTAATTAAATATTATATTATTATTATTAGAATATAAATTTGTATTTCATAAAAATTAAAAAATAAACAAATGATATTTATATAATTCTATTTACCTATTAAAAGGATTATCCAATATGGTACACGAGCTGTTGTTGCGACCACTGATCGTTTGGCTTCTAGATAGAATGCATCAGATTCTTTCTTAAATCGAACTGTTAAATCATGTTGTCGTGTCTCGGAAAGAATTATTAGAGATTCTTCCAAATCTAGTTCCTAAAGTTTTTTTTTAAAATATATATATAATATATCATTTAGAAAGTAATTAAAAATAATTTAAAATAAAATAATTAAAATATGTTTAACTCCTACTTCATCCGATGGAATATTTAACTCTAAATCATCGGGGATTTTGATGTTAGAGAAAATTGGTATCAAATTAAGAGCCTACGTATATAAATAAATATAATAATAATAATAATAATAATTGCAAGGAAATTATTAAATATATTTTATCACATATTGAATTAAATATGTAAATTAAATTTTTTTTTTAAAAAAAAAAAAAAATGGAAAAAATTATCGCCGCACCTCTTCTCTTGCTTTTCTAAAATGTTTATCAATATCATCTTCAGGTTTCCATACTTTTGGCAATCCTTCTTCATCATATCGGAATTTTTCCTCGAACCTTTATAATAATAAATTAAATATTTTAAAAATTATGAAAAATGGAAAGGACCATTTAAAGTACATCACATCAAATCAAATTAATTTGTTGGACATACCTTTCACGTAATTTAAGCAAAAACATATTGTCTGCTAGTTCTTCATCTACCTTTTTTCGAAATTGTAGCCAAGAACGTTTGCGAAGACTCTCAATAGCTGTAGAGTTTTCTTCTTCCGAAGAATTAAAGCCTAATCAAAAAGAACCAAAAACATTAATTTTTTTTTTTTTTTACATTAATAAACTTGTATTATTTATATATAAATATAAATAAATTAAAAAAAAAATAATTACTCTTTGCACGTTTCAACAATTGATTTTCAACATTTTCAAGAATTTGTTGAAACTTTCGAATAACTTTTCCCCACATATCTGGACCAGGTGTTTTGAAATAAAGCGAAACGAATTCATTGACTTGAGTTTGGAAAGATTTCTGAAATGATGACGATGATAAAAAAAAAATAATAATAATAAATTTATAAATATCAATCACATGTTTTTCATGTTTCTTCTTTTCTTTCTCATTTTTTTCCCCCTCACCTCCAACGCTTTAACCATTTTCTTAGTTTCTTCAACACGTAATTTGGCGGCAATTTCATCAATTGATTCCTTTAATTGTGTATATTCTTCATCATAAGTCCAATCGGTATCCGATAGAAGAATGGCTAAAAAAAAAAAAATTTAAATATATATATATATATATAAATCATAATCTCTTTATATCTTATATTGGGAAGGTAAGGTAATAAAATAATACCTTCAGCACTGGTGATAAAAATGCTTTCGACATTCTGTCGGGCGTGACTAACAACTTCAGAGAAATCGTATTCGCCTTTCAATTTTTCCTAAAATAATAAAATAAATAAATTTAATTTAATGAGAGAACAAAAATGTGCATATGAATAAATGAATAATGTGAATTGAATGAATACCTGAACAAGAGCAGTAAATGACGTTATTGATTTTTTGGTTAAATTTTTCAATTGACCCGTGAAAAACACGTGCAATTGTGAATTTGTTTTATTAAGAATTTCTGTACGTTTACGTTTATAAACTTCGGCGAGATACCGAGAAGCATCCTTGTCAAATTGTTCTATTGTAATAATTATGATTTTAAAATTATGATTTAAAAATATGATATTAAAAAAAACAACAACAACAACAATAATAATAATAATAAGTTTAAAAAAATAACTTACTAATTGTTGTATTTCGAATTTCTTCCATATTTGGTCCTAAATCATCCAGGATTTTTCCTGCTTCAATGGGTTGCCTAAACCCTTTGATTTTTCCGAGGAAAGCTTCAAATGCGACCGTTGCTATCTCATCACAACGATATTGAGCAAGAAGTTCTTGCTGTGTTGGTAAATCAAGATCCTTATTGGACATAATTTGTTCCTAAAAATCATAATATTATAAATTATTATAAATTTATACACATCCCACTTAATGTTACTTAAAATTCTTAATTATTATAAATTTAAAATTTTTTTAAAAAAAATTAAAAATTAAATTATAAAGAAACAAATAAAATACCCATATGCCATGACAATACACGTGTAAACCATCTGCAGGAACTCGTTTGCTATAATTTGGTTTAAATACATAATCTTTAATATTTGGATTTGTAAACCTATAAAGTGAATAATAAATTTATAATTTTATTAATTTACGACAATAAAATATAATGCTGAAAATATATAATAATAAAAAATATTATAAATAACATAATCATAATAATATAATTATAATATATGCATACCGTTCCCGCAGTTTAATCACTTCTTGTTCAAATTCCTTTGGTAAGAGGATTTTATGAGGTAATGCCGTGAACATGAAGTCGAAATAATCAGTTATCATACAATTCTCCAATCCTTCTGGCTAATAAAAAATGAAAATAATTTGATAAACATCAATAAACTTAAAAAATAGTTATTTGAAAATAATATTAAAGACAAAAAAAAAAATGCCGAAAACCGGAATTCTTATAAAAAATACCTTCGAAACACTTTGCCAGATTCTTTCCAAATCGGCAGTTAGTGTGTTCGATAGATTGGCTAATGGTGTTGCACCGACGTGATCTCGAATCACAAAGAGTAATAATGTTTTCTCATTACTAAAAATTTATATAAATGAAAATAAAATAAAAATAAAATAAAAAAAATACAAAATATATTAAATGTTGAATCAAATAAGGGTAAATACTGTAACAATTTAAATATTGTAATCAATTTTAAAAAAAACTATTGTAAATGTTATAATAACAACCTTCGTGCAGCTTGAAATAATTGTAAATTTACTTCGAATACAGTTTTAAGAAGTCCCATGTTGGCACCTTGATATAATCCGACTTGATGTTCCCAAAGATTTACAATAATAACATTGGATGTGGCCATAGAGAATAATGCACTTTTCCTTTCAAAATCCTAATTTTTATTCATTAAATTTCATTATTATGATGTTTTTATTAAATCCAGATTATTATTTTTCCCTTATTCATATATTGTTGATTTATATATATATATATTGTTGATGTATTAAATTTTTTGATTATATTTTTTTGATTATAATTTTTGATTATAATTTTTTGATTATAATTTTTTTTTTGTTGTATAAATGTTTTACATGCCTGATCTTCACCACGTTCACGACCATCTGTACCTTCAACATCCATAATCAATACGCTCATGTCTTTACCACAACTCATCCAAATTCCTAAAATTAATTAATAATTAATTTAATTTAGATAAATATATATGTGTGTTTATATATTTACTTTTCATTTTATTTTATTTTTTAAAAAAAACTATGAAATCATTAAGAATTCCCGAGAATCCTCAAGAATCATTATTACCTTTCGTGGTTTGACGTCGTGCAGTTTCACTCATGACATCGAAATCAGTACCAAAGAGACGATTTAATAAAGTACCTAAAAAAAAAAGTAATTAATTATTATAAAAATAATTATAAAATTCGAATCAATTAAATAAACGAATAAAAACATCTTGTAATAAAAGAATTATAAATATAATAATAATAATTTACTTTTTCCAGTACTCTGTGAACCAAATACGGCAACAAGGTTATAGTTAAAACCAACTTCACACAAATTCCATTCATCTCTCATGTATTTCGGTAACTCGTCTCTTTAGAAAAAAAAGAAATAAAATTTTTTTTTTTCAAAAATAGATTTTTAATGAAAATGATAACACCAAATATACATACGAAAATTTTTGATTTTCATTAATTATTTGTAAACGAGGTCTTGTTTTAGAAACTCCATTTGGTTGAGACTGAACATTTTCAGTAGTCATATTTATTTATTTTTAAGTTGATTCAAAAATTTGGTTCAAATTTGGTTCAAATTTGGTTATGACTAATACCCTTTAATAATTTATTTAATCAAATATATATAATTATCTTTAATTATCTTATCAAGTCAATAATGATAACAAGAATAATAAGAATAAGAATAATAATAATAGAATAAGTAAATAATAGTAGTAAAAAACTTTGATAAACTGAGGGTTGTTATATATATAGTGAAAATTATAATATCAGTTCCAAATGACACAGAAAAAACTTTTCGCCACTTGGAATCTTTAAAAGATATTTTTATTGGTTAGCATATGAGATTCATACATATAACTAATATATATTAGATGGATGAATGTTTCACAGTTCAAAAAAGGTTTGTTTAACATCTTAAAAGCACATGAAAAGATTTCATTTTACATTCTAATGAAAATCTATTCTAAATTCGTTAAATACGTACAAATTACATTCTATATATCATATTTGTATCATTTGGTGTAAATTATATCGTGGCTTTTTTCATATAAATGAAAAAATGAATATGTGAATAAATAAACATGAAAATATTTTGATTCCAGCGTTTATATGTAATATTTATAAACATTTTGATGAAATACCCGAAACTTATATTAGTAATAGTTAACCGTTTGGTTACAAAAATTTCTGACACATTTTTCTCCTCCACATTGTTTAACTATCTGCGAGATGTAAGTACGCACAACATTTAGTCTATCTTGTTAAGGAAAGAAAACATGGGAAGATCATTTCTCAATCAAGATTAAAACAAATATTTATTAATATTTTTATATATATTAATTTAATTATTTCATTTACTCAAATTACAAAAAAATTTTACTACTACTCAAATTATTTACTTTAAATTACTACTCAAATTAATCTTTAAATTTTTCATCTTACAGCAGGGAACATAATGAACATATTGAGATATTGAGATATTGATTAATTAATTAATTACTCTCAAAATTATTCTCATAAATTACTCTCAAATTAATTTACTCCCAAATTACTCCAGATTTTCGTAAAATAGTTTGATTTCTTTGCATTATTGTTTCTCTCCATTTTAAAATTCTCCAAACAATTAAAATAAAAATCAATGTAACTTCACTTCTCATTATTATCCATTTCCAATTCATCACGTTACGCCATTCTTTTATCAATATTTTAAATTTACTTTTCCATCTTCTATTTTCAATAAATTTTTTCTTCTTTTCTTCTTTATCTAATAAATCTTTTTGTAAAATTTCTAAAATTAATTTTCCTCTACAACTTGGACAGGTTGGTTTAATTCTTAATAATCTAATCTGTGATAATCTTAAATGTTGTAAAGCGAGAGTTCGGGTTATTCCCATAGTATACCAACGAAACATACATGGACGATGAGCGACATGATGAGGAAATTTACAATAATTTTCTAAAATTCCTAAATCATTTTCATCAAATATTTCATTATTTTCATCTTGATCCGAATAAAATGATGTTACTTTGGTACCAATACCAACACCATAACAAACACAACAATCATCATCTTTAGCAGTTTCTGGTGCAGGACGTCCTCTTATGGTAAAACTTAATGAATTACGAATATTTACAAAATGTCGTAAAAGGAGAAAATGAATAAATTCTTCTAAGAATAATGTTGGTATATAAAATAGTAATAAATTTGGTATAAACTTTAAAAAAGGTGGAAGTGTTGTATTGTGAGGTGAAGGCAAAGACTGTAAAATATATACATATATATATATATATATTATATTTAAAGTTATATGGATTATATAGATTATCAATCGATGATAGTTTTTTTCAATAGGTTATCGCGTAAAAGAAATTCTCTAACCTTATGTTTCATCCATCTCAAAAGAGCATATACGATCTACAGAATAATTCGTTATAAGGTTATTAATTATTAATTTATTGAAAATATTATATAAATATTATGTCAAAAGAATCTTTTAATAATAATATTATATACCATCATATGACAACAAGCCACCATCTTTTTCTCATCTTCGTTGAGCCTTTTACGAAAAGTTAAAGGAGCTCCACGTGCATTATAAAATACCAAAGATGCTATTTTAAAATATATCACCACTTCAATACAATATATATATATATATATATATATATAGTACATGTAATATATAATATACATAGCGTATAGTTAAAAAAAAATATATATATATATGCCTTTAGTCCACGAGCTACAAGCCCAAGAAATGGCTATAACAAATTTAGCGTATTCAGACATGAGAGAAAAGAAAATTCAGATTTCTATGATGAGCATTGCTATTGACAAAAAACCAGGCAAAAAATGAACTTGACGTCATAACATAGAATAAAATTTTCCCACAAAAAAAAAAAAAAATTAATAATTTAATACCCAGAGATTGTCCAATAGTCTCTTTTCAGTTCAGATTAGATCAACCATCAATTGTTTGTTTTTAAAGTTATTTAAACAATTATTATTAAGGGACCCCTGGAAGAATCCAACAAACAATACATTACAGGAGGGACAATTAATTGAAGAAAATTTATCTCAGGAATCTTTTTCATAGAACAAAAATACCAATTGTATTCCCAATATTTAAATCTTCCAATCTGAATTTAAAGCCAGTATTCAATATGACAAATTAGGAATTGATTTTCAACCTAAAATTTTAATTTATGTTTGTTATATATTTAGATTATTTAGATTAGATAATAATAATAATATAATAATAATAATAATACGCGCGTCGCTCCCAGAAATGAATTTTATAACATTTTTGAGTCAATTAGAATATCCTCAAGTTTCAACTTTAAAACCAGAACAAATTTCATGGATTTATGAAAGTGATGATTTGCATTATTTACTTGATTGGTTAAGTGAAAATATTGATATTGAACAAAATTATATTGGTAATGATAACGAGGATAATCTGTAAGTTTTATTTTATCAATGTATTTATTTAATTATTTTATTTAATTATTTTTTTTATATTATTATTTTTATTTATACTATTATTATATTATTATTATTATTATTATTATTATTATTATTACATGTAATATGTAATAACAAGTAATCCAATAGAGGTTAAGAAAATAAAGTAAGTCATTTATTACGCGTCTATACAATATGATAAAAAAAAAATGGAAGAATTTTCACGTGTTAATAATCATATTCGTAAAATAATATATGGGAAAGAACACGAGATTCTTGAAAATGAAATTAATAATCTACGAAAAAGACAAGAATATGCGATTTTTAATCGTGATCAATTAAAGTAAAGAAGTTAAATCCATTAATTATTATTATCAATTATTAATTATATTAATTATATTAAAAAGATTCATAATTTTTATGATAGATTGGTTTTAGAAGATTTAAAGAATCAACTTGCGGATTTTAGAAAAATTAGTCATGATTTAGATGATAAAAATAAAGAAGTCGATAAATTGATTGAAGATGATTCCATCAAAGTTCTTAATATTCCTATTTCTATTTCTAGAAAATTTTATTAATTATTAATTATTTAATTATAAATTATTATTATTATATTTAATAGCTTGACATGAATATCAAAGATTTATTCGATATAATAAATGAAGTTTTATCTGAAAGAACAACAACAACAACTCAAGAAGAAAATAATAAAACAAATAATAATAATAATGAAAACAATTTCATGTCTCAATGCACTAATGAAATCCAAGAAATAATTGGAATAGATCAAAAATTTACATTTGAACTTCAAGAATTATGCGAAAAATTATTTTCGCGGAATATAAATGAGTTATCGGATCCAAATGAATTGGACGAAGAAATTGGGAGATTAAAACATTTGTAATTATTTCCTTTATTATAATAATAATAATTTAATAATAACAATTTAATAATAATAATTTAATAATAATAATTTAATAATAATAATTCAATAATAAATTCAATAATAATAATTCAATAATAATAATTCAGTAATAATAATTCAATAATAATTATAGATATCCAAATTCAGAACGAAAATACATAGATGTCGCATCACAATATGAATATTGGGATACATATTTAAAAGTGATAAATAATGAAGTTTCAAGGCTGGATTCTATTATGCCTTTTTCTGCTGATAATTTAGGGTTATTATTATCATCATCATCATTACCATCATCATCATTACCATCATCATCATTACCATCATCATCATAATTTATTTTCTATTCATATCTCATTCATTCTTACTTACAGGTCAAAGTATGATCAATGTGAGAGAAAAATTATTCTCATAAGGCAGGAAATCAATGATAAAGCACAGAGAATAGAAGAATATTTAAATACACTTGCTGATTTAGAAGTTGAAAAGTCAATATTATTGGTCGATTATAATGTTCAATCTAATTATCAAAAGTCATTTATAAATGGCTTGGATTTGGTATGAATTAATTTTATATTAAAATTGAATTAATCATATATTAAATTATGAATTATTGTATATATCAATATTATAAAAATTATATCAATTATATATCACATGCTCTTGTCATAGGTGATGGATCTTTTAATTTCACAATTCTCGCGTCTTCAATTCGTTACTCAAGCTTTCAATATCGAATTTGATAATCATAAATCACTTCATAAATTATTAAAAAATGTTATAAATGAATTAAATCAACGTTGTCAGAATATCAAAGATCGAATGGTATTTATAATAATAATTATTTAAATTTAAATATATTTCTTTTATTTCTTTATTTCTAACTTTTTATTTTGTTGTTGTGTAGAAATTAATGTCTGCCACAGATTTTAGTGATCCCAAAATTGAAAAAACTGTAGTGGAAAGTAATGATCAAATGTTATTTTCTATAAAAAAATTAATGAATTTAGATATCAATCCTCGAAATCTTATGAAGAGAAATACTACTTCAACTTTTGTTACATATGAATCATTAAAAGAAAGAATGAGTGAAATCTTGCAAGAAAGAGATCAAACTCATAATGATATGGTAGAAGAATTAAAGGCTCAATATGAATTTATGAAAGCAAGGTTAAAATGTTGATTAATATTTTTATTACTTTAACATTTCTCTAAATAATTTGCTAATATTTCGTTAATGTTTGATTAATAGTGAAGAAATTGAAAAGACCTTAACCTCCATATTGTATAAAGATTCTTATACATCTGAACTTTTACTTACACCTAGGGTAAAATCATGAAATTCTATTCTTATTATTCTTATTCTATTCTTATTCTATTCTTATTCTGTTCTTATTCTATTCTTTTCTTATTCTATTCTTGTTCTATTGTTCTATTGTTTTATTGTTCTATTGTTCTATTCCTATTATTGCTCTATTCTGATTTCTATTCTTGTTCCATTTTAATTTCTATTCTAATTTCTGTTCTTATTCTATTCTAATTACTCTATTTTTTTTCTTATAGAAATTTTCAGATTTACAAAATTCCTTTCGTCACAAAACTACATTCTTACAACCAAAACTTAATTTGATTACAAAGGTAAATTTTGAAATCCATTTTTTGTTCCACATATTTTGTATTAATATAATTTGTTCCCATTTTCATATTCACATTTTTCATAATTTTTTTTTTTTGAAATGGTAGGATTTAAATTTACAGGATCATTTAGAAAATAAAAAATTATTATTTCATCGATATTACACGGATCCTGTGTGGAAAAATTAAAATTTTAAAAACTTAAATTTTTACCCAGAACAGAAAATTAAATATTCTTTCGATGCAAATTATATTATGAAAATACCATACAAACAAAAAACGAACTGCTGATCAAGCTTTTAATAACAATGAATATGATTATCTTTATGGTATCGCTTCTACTGGAGAAGGTTGTCATTTTATAATGTTTACATCAGATGGATTATATTATACAAGTAAATCTGAATATCAAATATCTCTTACAAAAAAAAAAAGTGATTAGAGAGAATATAAAACAAATAATCGGTATAATTGTGGGTTTATGCGATGAACTCGATACAAAAAAAAAAATAAAAAATAGATAACATTTCTTGTTTCATGTATTTTTATTACAGAGTCATTTACCTGATACTTATGTGTCTCACATTTTATTTGTAATAATAAAAAATGAATGGATGATTTATTATTAAGTGTACTTTTGAATATATCTATATCTTGTATAAAAGAAATTTCTATTATCAACTAAAGACCGTTCCTGTTTAAAAACAAATGGTAAAAACGATTTTATTACGTTCGTTCTATCCAGCCGTTTCCCTGTGTTAATCATACTCCATCGAGGATCAAATAATCTATTACGAATTTCTGTCTCGCAGCTAAAAGATTTAATATTTTGAATATAGATAGTCTTACATAAAGCAATATCTCTACCTTTTGTCTTTTTGAGCTCTATTTCTTTTATCTCTATCTTTGGATTACTTATACCAATATCAATGTATATACCAGAATAATACCATTAAAATTATTGGTAGTAAAGGCAGACTTGAGATTTACTAGGGCAAGAACATCCGCATCTTGAAATTTTGTTCTTTTTGCGTTCTTATTTTGAATCAAAATGATACCATAGAGGAATATTTGAAAGCTGTGTGTCTGTGATAAGCTTCTCGGATAAGATTTTATGATAAATACTTCCGTCCTCCTTGATTCGTATATTGTCTACTGGAAGCTAACAAAGATGTCCAGTGGTTAAAGCCAATTTCAGCCTGATCTATTTTCATATTTATAAGAAGGTCATCAAGATCTTGTATCGATTCCTTTACAAAGAGTCTTTAAAAATAACGGTAAGGGAACCTTTTCCAAGTATGTAATTGGTGATGAATGAATTTTTCTCGCAGCACGAATATATGCTTCCAGGAACAAAATGCGACTGACAAGTTCTCCTCTTTCTTCAATTACTCCACGACCAACAGTGTGTCTAAACATTTTTCAAAACCAATTTCGATCATTCCTTTTAATGCTCCAGATACAAGGATAGGATCGGAAGGATATGTGCAAAGAATATCCGTGCGATCTTCTGATACACCTATAGCAGTTGTCATATGAGACGTTATAACATCTCTACCTCAGAAAAACGAGGGCAAACTTCAAAAGCAAAGGAACAGGACATGCATGCAAGATTAGCAAGATGATCATTTTTTTTTTTTTTTTATTAAAATTGCGATTTTTTTGTGAGTTCAATTCCATAGAGATACAATGTCCTTTGTGGATCATAATATACTCCAAGTGACACAAGGTTTGACAATGCATCTATGGTATGAACATCCAAATACTCGGGAAATAAATAATATTCGGCTTCCTGGCAAAATGATCTCGAGGAAGGAAATTACCAATTTTTCCGTTTGTGATATTCCGAATTTGTCTCCTCCATTGAATAAAATAGGTGTCATCATTAATAAACAATATTTTTCAAGCAACTTGTGTGCTTCATCAATGCAACAAATGACTTGGATCGGTATTTCTTTTTGAAATAAGTCCTTTACATAATTTTGTTTGATAAGGGTTTATTATGCTGTGATAATGGTGACGATTTATCAAAATTTTCCAAGACACTTTTCCAAAAATTGGTTCACACCATTTCGTGCTCAGCTTTGACCTGTAATTCCCAAAACTTTTCTATGTTCCAGCCCTTCTCTTTAATTAAATTGATTGTCTCAAATAGAAGTATCCCAAACTTATTATCCCAAATTTTTTCAAAAATTTGGTTGACACAAGGTGTTGAAACAGGATATCCACTACTATCCTTCTGTCACTTACAGATATACACCAACCTGCCAAAAGTATCCGGGCAACAATTTTTTTGTCAAATTTTTAAAAAATTTTAAGGATGAATTA